ATATAAATAAGGTAAATATAATGGTTAATGAGCTTTACAGATTTTTACAGATTTTTCTGTATATAAGTAAATAAAACACTCTCCTAGATATTTTTGTATTAATGCAGGTGTTGCCCAGGTCTCTGTTTTTGGACTTATGCTGTTCCTACTTTTTGTTCTTGATGTCATCAGTTTTCAACTCAGTATCTATGCTAATGTCACAACTATTTACTCATGTCATAATAGTAAGTCTGATCAGGTCAAATTAGCAGCTGATCTCAAAAATGACCTACAATCAGTTGTTAACTGGGACAAGAAATGGCTTGTTAATTTCAATGAATCCAAAAATGAAATTGCTCTCTTTTGAGACCCCTTTCTGCCTTCTATCATCATGGCTGATGCTAACCACCACGTTATTGACTCATTGTGCTTTCTTGAGCTAAGATTTTCCACTGACATGAATTAGGTTATATTGAATCAATTGCTACATCTGCTGCTAGGAAAGTTGGTTAACTGCATTGTGCTAGATAATTTCTCTCATCAGAATCTATCTTACACATTTAGAAGTAGGTACCTCCAAAGAAATGCAATACCTAAGCTTTAAAATGAATTATTAAAAATGAAAAAGATTTCTTGAAGCTTTTTAGTTTTTATTTCAAACTAACAGATTAAATTTAATATTTCCAATAAGCAAAATACTTTGCTGTATTTCAAACCAAATTTAAATTCAGTATCCTCAAGGACACATGACACAGTGGATAAAGGCATTGGTTAGATCCAGCGACAGGGCCCAAAGATTTTTAGTTCAATACCCAGTTAAGGCAGTGGAGAACTTGCAGAGGGGAATTAACAGGAGATAACTGATAATTGACATCCATTAAACATGGCAAGTGGAACTAGAACAGTCTACCCCAGTGATCAAAATAAAGGGTTCAGTTTGACATTCCAACCAGCTGAAGAAGGCTGGAGCGTAAACGACCGAAATGTTGTTATAAAAGATGAGGACAATAGTCCAAATAATGTAAATAGTGCAACTTTAAATTGATTGGAATTATTATTTTTTTTTTGAAATTGCTAAAAATGGCTGTTAGCAATATTTACAATTTTCTTAGTAGAATGTAATTCTCTTTATTAAAAAAATCTTTCAAAACTAAAATGTACATTTCTGAAACTTTACTTGAATAAGATTAACAGATTTAAAGTTTAATTTAATTTGAAACAAATTTTACTGACTTAGTTTAAAATATTGCTGAAAAGTATTTTTTAACATAGAGGTGGGCGTTTTAGGAAAATATTCTAAGTAATCTACTATTTTTTTTAATTTTAGGTACTTTGGCCTTAAATTTACTATAGTTACCATTCTTATTTTCTGATACCATCATGTGTGGACACCTGTATTTAAATAAATTGGAAGTTTATATACACAAAAAAATTGAATTATAGTAAGCTTTTTCATTTATGATTAGTAAATATAGTTTTTACTTAATAACAATATCATCTAATACAGAATTCTAGATTTAAAACTTTATAAATTATTCTAATTAAAATTTAAAAAAAAAAAAAAAAAAAAAAAAAAAAAAAAAAAAAAAAAAAATTCTTGTAAAAATTCATTATTCATTGAAAAAATTATTTTTCTTAAGCCAATGGTGTTTGTAATATATTTTATTCATAAAAGCAATTAAAAGCTTTTCTAATTAAATAATGTCTTAGTTTTATTGCATTTTTTTATTTTACAATTCAGAGCAGATTTTATGGAACTGGGAAACCTGTTTTACAAAAAAAAAAAAAAAAAAAAAAAAAAAATATTTAAGTTCTTCAAAGATTTGTGCTTCTGACTATTATAAAAGCATTAAGTTCTGCAAAAAGGAATTTATCAAAATTTCATAAAATTAAATAAGTAATAAGTAGGTAAAAAAAAAAAAATATATATATATATATATATATATATATATATATATATATATATATAGAGAGAGAGAGAGAGAGAGAGATTTTCTAAAGAGAAAACATTTCTAAAATAATTCATTTGTGAATATATCCTGAAAGTTTCATTAAAATCTCACAATTATTCGATTTTTGCAAGAATTTCCAAATCAATGTATTCTTCACTGCAAAAAGACGGTAAAATTTCTCATACTAATTTATGGTCAAGAAGAACAAAATTTTTAACTGAAATTTAGAAGGTTCTAAAAAGGATTAAAAATATAATATTATAACAATATAAAATATAATATTATATATTATTTAGAAGGTTCTAAAAAGGATTAAAAAATATAATAACCAAAAAATCCTTTCGTTTTTCCTTTTAATAATGACAAATTTTTTATGGTAGAGCTTGTTTTTTATTATGTTTGGAGCATTTTTCATCATTTATACCCATTTTTTTTTTAGCAAATCTTTGGAGGTACCTATTTATAAGTTTGCCATTCATCTTTGCATTGAATATAACTGCCACAGCTGGTCTCGTCTTTTTGCTATGTATTTAGAGATTCTTGATAAAGTCTAAAGAAGAATCTGCAATGTTATTGGTTCTGATCTGGTATCTTGGCTTCATTTATGTCTCTTCCGGATGTCTCAGTTATTTCCCTTTAACCCAACTCTCTGTTTTGGTTCACCACTGCTGTGGCTTAGTATTGAACTCACAACTGTTTGGGTCTAGTCACTGGATCTAACCAACATCTTTACCCTCAAAGACACATGGCCCAGTGGATAAAGACATTGGTTACATCCAGTGACCAGACCACAGCAGTGGTGAACCAAAACTTAGAGAGTTGAGTTACTGAGACATCCAGAAGAGGCATGGCATGTGGAATCAGAACAATCTACACTGGTGGACAAAATAAAAGGTTCAGTTAGAAATTCCAATCACCTGAAGAAGGCTGGAGACAAAATTAGTTCCTGTTTTTGAGAAAGTGAGCACATTAACTTGTATGATCAGAAAACGAAGAACACCAGTAGACTCACTCAAAGTCTCTGTCACTACATTTTCTCAGTATCAATTGGTCTTTTTTTGCTTTTTAATTAACATTCATTGTCTGTGATACTCAGGTGCAAAAACAGACGAAGTGATTGTGCTTGAGGGAAACCCTGAGCACCTGTTAACTAAGTTTTAGTGTAATACCAAGTTTTCTTTTTTTAAGTGTTGAGTCTTTCAAACCGATTGACTTTTAGCCACTACCTTGTGACAACTTAGATATAAAAATAGTTTTTTCGTAACCAGAATAATCACAACCACTTCAAGTCTAGAGTCAACTATTACAATATCCTCATAATCTATAACGCTTACATCCATAAAACAACTGCATTCCATCACTCTACCTTAAGCGGCTCTTTGGCCTAGTACTGACTGAACACCAGTGTTTAAAAAAATTGTCTGGTGTTGATCCCGATGATATTTGAACTGGTAATAATTAAGTCATTTACACACACACACATATATATATATATATATATATATATATATATATATATGTGTGTGTGTGTAAAATAGATAGGTTAGTTAATAAAACAAGGACAACCGAAAGGGTACCAATATAATCAGTATGTTAAACATTTATTAAATATTATTAACCATTTTAAATTTAATAATTAGCATTTAATAACAGTTTATCTATTTTACATATCATAATGAAAATATGCACATATGGATTATTATATATATATATATATATATAAAAGAATTCAACCTAAAGAAAAATAAACAGTCTGTTTCATGCTAGACACAATTTGCCAGGCCATTAAAAGTGTTTTTATTTTTTTTCTATTTTTATATTTACAGGTCAGTGGTGCATTATGGGTATATATATATATATATATATATATATATATATATATATATATATATAAGGTTAATTGAAAAATAATAACGTAATTTTCTTAGTTTCATAGACAAAATTTCAAAAACAACATTAAATCATTATTTTTTTAATCATCTTATATATATATATATATATATATATATATATGTGTGTGTGTGTGTGGTTGTATTTTTTTGTGATTTTATGTTTCAAAATGTGATCTTCAAACAACTTCCATGTACCGCATGTCTTAGCTCTATCACAGATATTGAAACTTTTAAACTAAATATCACATTATATATATATATATATATATATATATTAGAATATTTCTTCAGATTGTTGATCATTCTAGATAACATGCTCTCTCCCAGAAACTGTAACTAAGGTCTGCTCAACATAGTTGCAGTATAAACCACAGGTGGGCTCTCTGAGTGTTGAATAAACACAAATGTGCCTTAGTAAGAGTCTGCAATAGGGATTGGGTAGCCGCTCTAGTAAACAGGTATCCTCGAATATGAGTGGCCAGGTATTTTATATATATATATATATTATATATATATATATATATATATATATATATATATATATAAAATAATCCACTGCCATACAAAAATGCTTAGTTAATGTATAGCTCATCAACATGTAAAAAATTTTGGATTTTACATTTAGTTCAAATGGATAATAATGGACAATCACAATTAGGTATAAATTAAAATGTACTGATTGATTTTTATGGCTTATCAACCTTTTGCAGGTTATTTAAAGCGAGAAAATATTCTTTTTAAATGGTATGAATGTTTTTTTTCAGAGATAATAATGTAGCGATACGAGTTTTATTAAGCTTGGAGAGAAGAGATGGAAACATGCCTTTCCCAAGGGTATCTGTACGTAAGTGAATATAATGAAACCAAGTGAAATTAGAACTCAGTTCTCCAATTTCCTATTCATTACACCACCTGCACATCCAAGCTTGCAGCATCTGGTATTCCCAAGTGGTCAACAATCTAGGCTCAAAGTTTCTTAACTTCGGTGATTGTACTGGAAGTCAATGCGATATGCCCATAAACCATAAAATTAGCTGCACATCAATGCTGAAATTCCCAAGTTGTCACTCATCTAAGTATTGACCAGGCTTGACGTTGCTTAAATTCAGATTGTATGGGAACCAATGTTTCAACATGATATGGCCGTAAGCCCTTTCTACCACCTAACAATCAAGTGTACAGCACCTGGTATTGCCAAGTGGTCACCCATCTAGGTACTGACCAGGCTTGACATTGCTTAACTTCAGTAATCATAGGGGAAATTCTGTTTCAATGTGATATGGTCACAAGCCCAAATAAATCAAAATGTAATCAAACCTTATCAGTTATGGTGGATGGTATTCTGGTTGGAATTTAATTTTTCAAATGTCACCATTAATCCACTGGCATTTCTTCACATGATGGCATCCTGAACGATGACAAGCCAAACTCAGAGATTCCAAGAAAAATTGAAAAACTTACCTGAAAAGAAAGAAAGAGAAAAATACATGCAGATTAGAAATTGAAAGCACAGGTTTTTATTTTAAGACATTTTTTTTAATGTTTAAACGTTCTTTTTAGAGATACAAATATTTAAGTAAATGCTCTGTTTATGATAAACAGTATTAACAACATTTACCAGCCTGAATGTCCGAGAAATTTTCATAGAAAATATGCGTCCTCCAAAAGGAATCGAACCTGTATCCTATATGGAACTATCATATAGCCTGACGTGCTTTTACCGATTGAGCCACTGAGAAGTGTTGAAACAAAATGGCTATTTTTGTAGTGATTTTATAACATTTTTATGTTATAATTTTCAAATAAATTATATTTGCTCTACTCTGTATTGAGCACTCGTTTAAGAATAGTATTTTTGGTTATTGGAATTTATTCTGTATACACCAATCATATACTTGTGTGTGTTTGTGTATATATATTATATTTCAATTCTTCATGAGCTTCCGATCCTTAGCTATGATTGATTAATGATGAATATGTCATTTTCATTTATGATTGATTTCATCACGATTCTTCTGTTAAGCTTGGAGAGTAATTATACATTCCTATTGCTGAAAGTAGAGTCCATTAGTGTTATAAAAACCTCGGAGAATTCCAGTAAGATATCTTTAATCATTTCTAACATACAACGGTTCAAAGCTTAATCTAACAATTGGACAAAGTCCGACAATTATTTTTTATATATATATATATATATATATATATATATATATATATATATAAAATGTGTGTGTGTGAAGAAAAACTGATTCATGGCTTTCCCAAGGGCATCAGTGTAAAGCTAACAATGTAATTCCTCTTTTGGCACCAATAGCCTTTAGACTACATGCTTATCTACCTTGTACTACATGATGTAAATATGAGGATAAGTAAGTTAATGTCAAAATTGATTTGTTTTTACTTACTTGGGCAGATGACTAAGATTATCATAATGAGATTTATTGCTGAAAACCGGACTGACACGCAGGGAAAGAAAGTGAGAGCACAAAGCAAAAAAACAAAAAACACAGGACAGTCAGGGTTGGTGTCAGAAAGAAAAGTGGATTTTATTAACAAACAAAAACATTGAGCTGCTCTGATGACTTTTCCTTAATAATTAATCAATTCTTAACACATTTTCAGAAATATTCAATTGGACAAAAAAGAATAATAACCCCTCACTCTAATTTCATTTAACGGTATATCAATACCTCAATGGGTTATTTAATGCCAACAAATTTTTTAGGTGAGTTATTATGTTTACTTATATTATTTACATTATTCAAACTGTTATCATCATCTTCACTGCTATATTCACAATGCTTCAGCTGTTGTACGCTCTGGTCTTTTTCAAAGAGTTGTGAGTTCTGTACCAGGCTACAACCTTACAGAGTTGAGATAAAGGGAAATAACTGAGATGCCTGGAAATGGCATGGCATGTGGAACTAGAACAATTTACCCAGGTGAATGGAATAAAGGGTTCGGTTTGAAATTCCAATCACCTGAAGAAGGCTGGAGTGTACAACAGCAGAAACATTGTGAATATGGCAATGAAGATGAGGATAACAATCCAAATAATGTAAATAATACAAGTAAGATTTTTAGGATAGGTTCAGATGAATAGAATATGTATTCTTTATAAGAAATCAGTTTGTAGATCAAGTTTCATTTACTTATTTTTGTAAAGGTTTTTGTTGAGAGTCTGGTTTGGTTTATTTTGTTTTATGGCATATCAACACCTCAATGGGTTATTTAATGCTGACAAGATATTTAGGATAGATTTGTATGAATAAATATGTATTCTTTGTAAGGAATCATTTTGTAGATCAGTTTTCATTGACATATTTTATAAAGAGGAATTTTTGTCAAGAGTTAAATGTATATCTGGAAATAATTTTTTCCATACAAAATAGGTTACAGAACAACGTAAGTAGATTTAGTAAACTGTTTTTTTTTTAATATTTTCCTGTAGAGCCGAATTTCTTTAATGAAATTTATCATGTTACTTGAATTGATATTTTCAAAAAGATCCTTTAAGTTATCCAATTTGCAGAGTTTGATTTGGGTTTGCTGGAATTTACAGCAATCTAGTAGAATATGTTTGACTGTACATGGTTCCTGGCATGAGACACATATTAGCAGTTCCTCCTTTTTTAGTAGATTTTGGTGGGTTATGTATGTGTGTCCTATTAAATAAGTTCTATGATGTATATGTATATATATATATATATATATATATATATATATTAATAAAAATAAAATTGAAAGCTTAAAATCTAAATTAAACGGAGGGCTCACTGCCAAAGCTGATGGTCTAAATATAAGATAATAATACCAAAATCCACTACTCTAGTAGCAGATATTGGTTTACTGAATTTTTGATTATATATATATATATATATATATATATATATATATATATATATATATATATATATATATATATATATATATATATATATCACAATCAAAATTTTTTTTACAAACTTTGGGGAAGGTTCCTCATAACAAATCTTTACTGAAAACGTCCATATAAACCTATGTCTGTTTATTATACCTTGTTTTTTGAGTAATTAAGTTTAAAGAAAGTTTACGGTAGATGGTATTGTGTTGCAATGTAGACTAGGTTACATTTGTATTACAAAAGTAATACTTAGCTGATGCATTTCAAAAAGCATTGGCTAAGAATGTTGGCCATGTATGCTGCCTTTTTTGGGATATCTTAGTATCAGTTAATTCCCTTTTAGTAACTCAACTATCCAAGTTTTTCTTCCCTCTGCTATGGGCGGGTATTGAACTCACAACTCTTTCGGTCAAGTCACTTTTTGGATTACTCAACCACTAGGCAATGTGTCCTTGGGGATAAAAGTGTTCATTGGTCTGCTGTTTGATGCTGAGATAAAAAAAAAAAAAAAAAAAAAAAAAAAAAAAAAAAAAAAAGGGAATCTGCACTCTTGGACTAAAAAGAGTGGGGTTTGAAATTCCAACATATATCACCTGAAGATGGTCAGAGCATATAATGGCCAAAAAGTTGTGAATATGGCAATAAAGATGAGGATAACAATCCAAACAGTTTATTATAATTAATTAACTTATCTCAGATATATATATATATATATATATATATAAGTGAATATAGAAGTCAAAACAGAGGCATATGTTCACTTTTATATCTATATTTACATACACTATGATATTGAGCACTTTATACCATAAATATAGCACAGTTTAAAACTATATATATATATATATATATATATATATATATATATACACACACATACACACACACACATACACACACACAGTGGGGTTGAATAAGTGATCATACAGTAAACAAATGCTTGTTATTCTCACTTATAGCAAATGAAAACCTCAAATAACAATGTTATATATGTATTTTGCAACATAGAATCTGCAATTTAAAATTAGAAATTCATCGATAAGTGATAGTTATGCAAATTTTTATTTTTCGAATAGTGGAAAAAGTGCTCGTACAGTATCAATTTTAATAATGGCTAGATGTAAGGAAATGACCATGGAACAATGGAAAAAGTTACAGAAACATCTCCAGTGACGCAAACATAACTTTTTCAACAATTGGTTCATTTATTGCAAGATTTAAAAGACGTAATACTGTTGAGAACAAAGGCAGACCCGGTGCTCCCAGGAAGATCTCTCCCAGATTACAAAGAAAATTGATGCAACTGGTCCAAAATAATCCAATGGCCATCAGACAAGACCTTCAGAATGATCTGAGTTTGTCAGGAGTTAACAAAACTAAGCAAAAGATTAGTAATGAACTACGCAGAGACAGTATAAAGTTATGCACCCCAAGAAAGACATCACTCCTCCTGAAACAGCATAGAGATGCCAGGTTGAAATTTGTGACAGAGCATAAAGATAAGGAAAATTCTTATTGGGAAAGAGTTCTTTGGACAGATGAGAGTGAAATTGAGTTGTTCAGTTGCAATTCCCTGAATCATGTATGGAGGAAAGGTGGCGAAGCATATGCACCCAAGAACACCATACCAACTGTCAAATTTGGTGGGGGTAGTATCATAGTTTAGGGCTGTTTTTCAATGCTAGGTGTTGGCAAACTAGCAATTATAGACAGTAGAATGAATGCAGAAAAATATCAACAAATCCTAAGCAAAAATTTATCGCTTTCTGTAGAGAATCTTGGGCTTCATCCTGATTGGATCTTCCAGCAGGACAATGATCCCAAGCATACTGCTATGAGTATGAAGAATTGGCTTGCTAATAACAATGTTAACATCTTACAATGGCCGAGTCAGTCACCGGATTTGAATCCAATAGAGAATTTATGGCGGTTTTTGAAAAATAAGATCCGTGATAGAGGTCCAACAAACATAAAAAACCTCAAGAGAATTACTCAGGAAGAATGGAACAAAATACCTACTAAAGTATGCGGATCATTAATTAAAGACTACAGGAAGAGATTGGTTGCTGTTGAACTTAATAAAGGCTTTGCTACAAAATATTAAATGGAGAAAACATGTTTTTGTTCTGCTGTACGATCATTTTTTAAACCCCTAAAAATTTAAATATTGCTATATTTTCTTAACCATGGAATATTATTTAGTTTTATATGCATACATTTTTAATATGCAATCTGATACAGTAGATATATTCCTGTTTTGTTAACTTAATATGTTACAAATAAAAATATGAAATATTTTCATGTGTATGATCACTTATTCAACCCCATTGTATATATTGAGACATGTTTCATTGAATAATTTAGACATGTTCTGTCTACTTATTCTCACTAGGATCCTTTCATATTCACGGATAAGCTTTATTGTGTGATTATTGAAAGACAAGAGGAAAACGCCATGTTCATACATATTGTATTTATTTACCGAGCACTTTTGACAGTACAACGTCATTATCAGGAGGGTATTGTTAATTACAGGATAAGTATTGTAGTGTTCATTGTGAAAAACAAAGATTGTTGTGACCATCTGAAAATTAAATTTCTTATATGTGAAGTAAGTGCTGTATCATGGCATGTGTATGGAACACTGTTTAAGGGGAGGTAACTAGGTATATGTTGTAGAAAGATTTTACAAAATGAGTAGTAGAAAAAATAAAGGAAAAATCTTTTAGTACAAACCTCGGCATTTCAAACTATCTATTGTAAACATTTTAAAATGTTTGTAGAATATTTGTAGTCAATTTTTTAATATAAATAGCTTCAAGAATTTTTAGTTTGTATTTATTCTTTTCGTGAAAGAGTATGGAGGTATTTTTGACAAGGATTTTCCTAAATTGCGAATAAGGACAGGTATATTGTTGTAAATGTTTAGAAATGTTGAACATGTTATTCAAATGGAAACTTAGCCACGGTGAGAGGAATTTCCTAATATGTAAGGAAGAACACAAGACTTTGGTTTTCTGGTTCAAAAGAAAACTGAAGTCTTGTGTCCTTGCTTACATATTAGGAAATTCCTCTTAAGCACATATGAGGCTGGATAAAAAAAATGTACATTTCAATAAACTCCCCACTGATACATTTACAATAACTTGGCTTTTCTTCTCTTCTCCCTTCTTCATCTGCTCCCTTTTTCGCATCTTCCTCCTCCTTCTCCTTTTCTATTACACCCAATGTCATGCATTTGTTTATTTAGAAAAAAAAATAATATAGCTATATTCATTAGATTTTTTAAAAAAGAAAATAAAGTGTTAAGTCATTTGATAAAAATCACCTGAGGATACTGTAAGGTTGAAACCAAGGTAGCAGATTTAACTGACCTCCTCACGAAATAGAATAAATAAATAAAAAAACAAAATCAATGAACCCAAATAAAGTAAATAATAAACAAATTAACAAACCATTATGACCAAAATATCAGTTAGACTATAAAAATCAAACCAAAGATCAGACAAAAAACATAGCTATAACTGTTATATAATGATTAAAAAAAAAAAAATTTTTACGTTACTTAAAAATCGAAAACCAAAAAGAGTAAATAAAAATATACAGTATAATAAATAAATAATAAAAAAACAAGTAAAATAAATTAATCTGAATTAATCCAAATAAACTAACAAACCGATCCCGATAAATTAATCGTTAGAAAAAACAAGATAATCAATTCAAATAAATAAATGAAGTAATAAACAAATTAAAAACTGCTCCCACCAAAATAATAGCTAGAAAAAACTACAGCAATCAACCCAAAAATTGAATAAATAGTTTTAATTATCTTCCCAAACCAAAACCAAACTATTAAATAAGCGATACAAACAAATTTTTACTAATAAAAACACCGATTAAAATAAAAATAAACAAATAAATATATAAGATAAGAAATAAAAATAAATAATGACAAGCAAAATAACCCAAATAAATAAATGACTTCCGGTAAAATAATCGCCAAAATAGACTACAGACAATGCACCACTGACCTGTATATATAAATAGCCAAGAAAGAAAGAAAAAAAACAAAAAAAAACTTGTGGCCTGACGATTGCGTCTAGTATGAAACAGCTTGTCACCTTTAAGTGCTGACTTCAATGTATTTACACATGCTCTATCTCTGATATTGAGCACTTTATCCCATAAATATAGCACACCTTAAGACTATATATATATATATATATATATATATTGGCTGTTGTCACCTATAAGAAACTCATCTGCTCTTTGACAGGTCTTGTTTTCCCCCAATTGGGGGTGACATCTCACTCTCCTCACCAACAAAAAAGCTAGTGGAAGAGCTGTTTTTTTTATGACAGTAAAAAAAAAATAAAAATTAAAAAAATAAAAGAAACATCACATCGTCTCTAACTGAATGTAAGTTTTATAGAAAGATTGAAAAGAATTTTTTGAGAGAACAATTTTTTTTTTAACACAGTGTACTAGGCCCGAGAGCCACTCAAGACAGAGGGTTACAGAGTAAAAGGCACAGTTTATGCAGATATATGTGGAAGATAATGGTTAACCCTAGACTAGAACAGGTTAAGATTGTAGTGATTGTGGAACAACTTCTTGGGAGTCAGTTTCATGAGAAGAAGCTGCTTGAGTATTACTTACATCTCCCCAGGGGAATTTGAAGAGAATGATGGCAGTTCGCATGTAGGTTAGGACTGATAGAGCTAAAGAGTGTAGTTTATCTGAACAATCTCCATTGAATTGGTGATAGAGCAGCAAGAGGCTTGTGATGTCTCATCTGTGGCAAAGGGATTACAAAGTGAAAAATAATTCATCACCCACAAGGACGCGGAGATGTTTTTGGACTCTATCGAGAGTGAAAAGTGAAGACTGTGCAGCTCCTGTCCATAGATGGCAACAGTTCTCCATTTGTGGCCTGATCTGGCTCTTGTAAAGGTAGAGGATAGCAGGGGTCAGGTACTTGCTTGAGTGGTAGAGGGACTGATTATTTTCCTAACATCTTTAAGGATGGATCGTATATACGAGTTCCACTTGAGGTCTGGGTTGAGTTTAAGATTCAATAGATGCTTAAGGCACAGGGCCTTCCTGAGGGAGCCTCTGTTCATCACAATTGGTAAGCTGATGGAATTTTCTTTTGGAGAAACAAAGAAAAAGAGCACTCACGCAAAATAAGTTGATGTGGATCATTGTGAAAACTCCAGGATTTTTTTCAAGTATACAAATATCCAATAAGATAGATTGTTGGTAAAGTAGATCCGAGGAAAGAAGGTGTCTGTATCTTGGATTGCTGTTGCAAGTGATGGATCAGATGGATTCAAGTTGGAATGTTTTGGCTGTTGTACCCTCTGACCGTTATATATTGATCTGTGTAACCTACAGGCAATTTCTAACTGAACCCTTTATTTAATTTACAGGGTTAGACTGATCTCGTTCCACTTCTCTTGTCTACGAATATCTCGTCTAGTTCTTATTTTTAGTACTTCTTGGTTATTGCTTTGGATTTCGATTAAATAAAGGGTTCATGAGAGTGAAGAAGAAAAATATCAAAGCTGTTCCTAGGAAGACAGACAGAACAGATTTAAGAATGTAGGATAAGTAATGATGAATGAAAGAGAGAGGATAAAGAAGGGAGGGGAGAGAGAGCAAACAAGAAGAGAGAGTGAGATAAAAGAGAGAGAGAGAGAGATAAAAGACAAAAGAAAGAGCAAAGAGAGAGAGAGAGAAAAACAGGTAGAGTGGGTAGAAAAAACCAGAAAAGAGAGCAAGAGAAAGAAATTGAAAGGTAAACAGAGAAATGACTTCAACTATGGACCCAAGGATTGAAAAAAAAAAAAAAAAAGGAATCTCATTAAGAGAGAGAGAGAGAGAGAGAGAAAGAGAACGAACGAGAGAAAGAACGAACGAAAGAGAGAGAACGAAAGAGAGAAAGAGAGAAAGAAAAGAAAAGAGAAAAAGAAAGAGAATGAAAAAAGAAAAAGAGAGAGAGAGAAAGAGAGAGAAATAAAAGAGAGAAAGAGAAACGAAAAAGAAAAAGAAGAGAGAAAAAAAAGAGAGAAAAGAAACGAAAGAGAGAAAAAAGAACGTAAAGAGAGAGAGAGAAAAGAAGAAAAAAAAAGAAAAAAAGAAAAAAGAAGAAAAGAGAAAAGAAAGAGAAACGAAAAAAGAGATATAGAAGAAAGAAAAAAAGAAAGAGAACGAAAAGAAAGAAATAAAGAAGAAACGAAAAAGAAAAGAAAAAAAGAGAACGAACGAAAAGAAAAGAAAAGTAAAGAAAAGAACGAAAAAAAGAGAAGAAAAAAAAAAGAAAAGAAAGAGAAAGAAAAGAAAGAAGAAAGAGAATTAAAAAAGAAAGAAAGAAAAGAAAGAAAAAAGATAAAAAAGAAAAGAAAGAAAGAAAAAGAAAGAGAAATCTAAAAAAAGAGAAAGAAGGAAAGAAAAGAAAGAAAGAAAGAGAAGAAAGATCTAGAAATTTAGTAAAACACCAAAAATGCAAATGAATGAGGTTTTCTGAATGAGGAGGATAGAGAAAGAAAGAAAATACAGAATGACCAATTCCAAGAAAGATGTTTGTTAGTGAGCAGATCAGAGTCTAGTATCCATCAGAAATTTGTTAATCAGGCTAAGATTTGGTGAAAGAAAACAGAAAAAAAAAACTGTGATGATGTGACCTAATTTGATATTTTAAAGACAGACAAAAATACAGGTATTATGGGGTAGAGAGACATTGTTAGGAAAATGGTGAAAAGAACACGGTTGATAGATAGTGGCCAGTTTCATGGAGATGAAAGGAAGTTTTAAAAGTACCAATGGTTGTTAATTGTAGTCATTCAAGAACAGGCTTTCTCCCTTTGTTTCCAATACAAAATAGTCCTCACTTGTACTGTTCCTCTTTTGCTTTATCTAAACCACTGACGACCACAGAGAGAGAAGGGAAGGGGATTTTTCACACAGTCATTCCTTGCCAAATTGCTACCAGATTTTGAACATACCATGTATTTTACGTATCATCCTGTCACAGACATCAAAAAGTAACAATTCTGAATGGAATTAACTGTTCTTCTTCTATGTTCCATATCCCTTCAGAACATTGGCAATAATGGCTCTCCACAATTTCCTGTCCTTTGTAGCTCTTAATAAATGCTGTCTTTTTGTTATTTCTCCTAAACCTTGTTCTGCCACTCAAGCTCTCAGTAGGTTATGTATAGTTTTCCTTTGTACCTCTTGCCTTCAATCTGTCCTTGTGAGTATCAAAATTTCCAAGCCCTCTTAAGAAATAATTGCATACTTTAATAATTAAACTTTTGGCCATGCCACGTTATTTACAGTATTTATTATAATTATCTGTAAATAAATGAGGAAAAAAAAAAGCACTGAATATACCAAGAGTTATCACCCTTAAGAGATCAGATCATTCGAAATGAGTGTGATTAGAAATAGGTGCCAAAAATTATTTGCAAAAAATTAATGTAAATAACTCCATAACAGCCAGCTACTCTTGTTTTCTGAGCACACCTGTCTGATAATGGAGGCTAGCCAATCCCTGAGGGAGACATATGCACACACACAGTTGTGTTTATTCAACACCCACAGGCCACCTGTGGTTGATATTGCAACTATGCTGAGCAGTCCTTAGTTACCATTTCTGAGAGTGCATAATGTCATGATCATCAAACTCTCGGTCATGATGGCTTGTAACCATCAACAGCTTCTGAACACTTACATCTACAATTTCACTTACAAGGCATGGATTAAACCATGGTGTAGTTTTGATGGGAATTCCACCTAAGATCAAGAAGATAAACAAATCAACCATGGTAAAGTTCAGTTCACAGAGTCACATGATCAGAAAGCTAGCATTCTAACTACTCGGCCATGTACCTATATAAAAACAACATTTAATATATAGTTTTCTCTCTTGAGAATTAAAATTACAATATTTACACTATTTACATTACTCAGACTATTGTCCTCATCTTTGTCGCCATTTTTATTATTACATTTCGGCTGTTGTATGCTCCGGCCTTCTTCAGGAGGTTGGAATGTCGAACTGACCCTTTATTTCGCTCACAGGGGTAGACTGTTCTAGTTCCATGTGCCATGTTTAATGGATGTCAGTTATCAGTTATCTCCTGTTAATTCTCCCCTGAAAGTTCTCCACTGCCTTAAACGGGTATTGAACTCATACACTTTGGGTCCTGTCACTGGATCTAACTAACGCCTTTATCCACTGTGCCATGTGTACTTGAGGAGATCTGTGTATGAATTTCTGGGTATTATAAACCTAATGTCTTCACCAACCATTTTTTTACCAGTGCTCATATTGCAATTTTTGCTGTTATCGACATTCCAACCACCTGAAGAAGGCCGAAGTGTACAGTGGCCGAAACGTAATAAATATGGCGACAAAGATGAGGACAATAGTCTGAATAATGTAAATAGTGTACATAATACCTCATCTCAGAAATATAGACAAATATTTACACTATTAACATTCAGACTATTATCCTCATCATTATTATTATCATCATGACTTTTTCATCGTTGTGCTCTGTGACTTTCATCAAATGTTTGTTACATTGATAAAGGTTAGATAACAGAGTAGGCAAAACATTGTGATAATAACAACAAAGATAAGGACAACAGTCCAAGTGTAAATAATGAAAATAATGATAATTCCTCATCCCAGAAATTCAGGCAGAAGGCTGATAACAACAACAACAATGATGAGGATATTTGTAGAAATGTAAATAATGGTAACTCCTAATCCCAGAAATTCAAACAAAAATTATAATAATAATAATACACTTTTCTTGCACTTCTCGCCTGTGGAACTCTCTTCTGGTTTCTTGCCTCCCTGCCATTTACAATCTTCAAAAAAAATTGAAATGCAATGCCAATTGCCATCTTGTCTTCTTGAATCCACTTCTTTTATTTTCCTTTCCCCTCACTAAAGTCTTCTCATTCTCTTTCAGTCTTTATCGCCAGGAACAGGGTAAGATTTTTTTCAAAGATTTCACTTAGTAGTTGGCGCTAGATCCACTCAAGGAAGAGGGTTACATTTGGAATAGTACCGTTGAGGAGTGAAATATGAGTGGAAGAGAATTTGGTAGGGAGTGACAATTAGGAGGATAGATAACGAGTGACCTTTGACTTGAAGAGTTTAAGATTTTCCTGCTCAAGGAAGCACCCAGTGGGAGTGTTCTTTTCTGTCGTTCACTCCTGAAGTTGGATGAGAGAGAAAATATTTGTAAAAGGTAGCTTCTGTGGTATTATGGCTAGAGAAAAAAGGGAACACATGCAGCAATTTCCAGCGACATTTAGCAGTTTTTATTTCAACTTAAAGGTAGCTCTAAAATAAAAATTCATATGAGCAGCAGCTCTTGAATATAAAAACACATAAGCCCTAAAGAAACTCTTCTCTGGGTTTTCCTCTTTTGAACATGTCACAGGAACTTTCTACACTGAAGCTACAAGGGCTGCAAATGCTTCACCATAACACACACCAACAAATAATACCGCTATAACATAATAATGAACATTTTGTTGCGTATAGAATTTACATCTAACAAAAACTCTTTTTAAACTTTCCTTTTGTTAATTTTGTTTTTAATAAATATTATCTTTGTATTGCAAATTAATTGGTCTGTTATTTTGGGCATGTATTCTTTATACCACCACTACTTCATGAATTATAAAATGTTCCTGTAAGCAATCTTACATGTTTATACAAATATACAAATTTATTGGCTCTCTCATAGCCAATCAACATCGTCTTTCCAGAGAGGGTCTTAATTGTGTGTCAGCCAATGAACATTGCCTTTACAGATAGTGTGTTCGCTGAGTGTCAGCCAATCAGCATTATCTTTACAACAGCTTCTAGCTGAAAGTGAAGACTTAAGTTTGTTGTATATTCCATTTTTCATAGACTTCTGTTGACTGATATCATTTTATTAACTCTGATTTTGTTTATTTAAAATTCTTCAAACTTTCCTTGCTTTTCAAAATATCTACATTACCTATAGTATAGTTCACCGTGATTTGGTTTTGGAAATTTTCTTTCAGACCAGGTCAACATAGATTTAATTTCTCAAGAGAATAATGTTTTATCATTTCAAATTCAAAGCCATTTACAATTTCAAAGAATTTAAGTCGATGAAGAAGTACGACCCAATGAGACAAAAAAAATTGAAAAATAATGCCAAAGAATGGTCTAGTTAGTCAGAAAATGTTACCACTGATGTCCAATTCACATCCAGATAATAGAGATACGAAGCTGGGTTAATAGAGTTGATGTATTTTAAGGGTAACTTTAATTACTCCTCAACTGAAAACACTATCCCTTTTATGAAATGTTTTACTATTTTGAATTCAAGGCCATTTTCAATTTCAAAGTTACAGAACAAATTGTCTTGTTAGTCAGAAAACGTTACCATCTATATTCATTTCATGTTCAGAAAATCAAGGTGTAGATAGTTGAGAAAGTACTATAGTTAGAATTTTCTCAAAGAAATGCATACTTCTGGTTATTATTGAATGAATGATTCAGATTGAGTGATTTATTTTTTACGACTTATCAACCCCTATGGATAATTGAGGGGAAAACGCATTCACTGTGTAGTCTTATTGAGAAGTTTTTCTTTTTTGTTTTTTTTTTCATTTCTCCCCAATCAAGGCAATGAAGCCACTAAGATGCAAGGGGAGGGACTAAATGTTAACAAATATGAGAAAGAAAACACTATTAAGGATAGAGGACAATAAAAGAACAAGAATTAAGAAGATAATTGCCATTGCATTTAAATTTTTGAAGATCAAAGTTGACAGGTAAGCAAGAAGCTGGAAGAGAGTTCCACAAGTGAGAAGTGTGAGAGAAGAAACTATTAGCATAGAACTTACAGTTCCATCCAGCCATTTCAACAGTAAGATGATGAGAACAGTAATTTCTTTAAACAAGCTCGTTCAACCGAAGAATGGAATGAAATAATTAATAAAATAAACGTGAAAAGACTGGTGGTATTTTACAGCAGACAAATCAAGAATTTTGGAAATAAGGAAATCTCATTGAAAAAAAAAGGAAGAAGAGATACTTTAGAGAAAGATGACTCCAAGAGACAAGGTAATAAATTTTAGGAAACATGAACACTGGAAGAAAAAAAAAAAGAAAAGAAAAAAGAAATAAAAACCATAATAATACTGCTAAAAAAAAATTTTTTTTTTTTTTCTTTTAGTCTAAAGGGATAAAGGGTAAGGTTCTTGAAAACTCTCCCCTCCCCCCAAATTTCTTTATCACTTGACTTCACAAACAGCTGTTATGTCATTCTTTACCATCTGGGTCCAAGATGTAGATTTATCTTCTTACACGATTTTGTCCTTTTTATTTACACTCACAGCCTTGAAACCTAGAATATTTTGAAACATGCCTAATGGAGAAAGCATGGCAATGTCTCATCTTCCTCCCGTTCCTTGACAAGTTCTCAAAATAACAATACAGTCGTCTTGTCTTTATAACTTCTTTAAGACAGCAATGTCATTTCATTTCAAATATTTCGGTAAGAGATGGCGTTTTCTTTTTCCTTTTTTTTTTTCCTTCTTTCAAGTGTAAGCCCGTGTCGTCTGAAGAGATATTTACTTTTGGTAACAGCTTTCCAGCAACAAAACCAACTGAATGCCAAAACTATTGCACCCTCCCTAATTACCCAACCTCTCCCTGTCTTGGTAAGAATTTCATGAAGCATCTCAAATGGTTTTCATATAGGCAACCATCAAACAATCTACATTAT